GATATCAGAAGCAGGGAGAGTCAATCGAAGAGTTTGCACAGTCCCTTAGGAGCCTGGTGGAGCGCGCAAATCCGGACTCCTCATTGGAGGTGGACCTCTCGGGACTGGCGCTTTCCAGTCCTATCGGGACTGCAAATTTAGGGACGAGCAGTGCCGCTATAGATTTTGAGCATGGTAAATGTAGATTTCGACCCGAAATACGAGAAAGTGATCTTTATGGAGGACCCTGGGATATTGGCGTAGGTGATATCACAAGCTCGACGGGTAGAATATTTGACTGGCGCTATTAAGGAGGACGTTTGAAGGAGAACTAAGGAAAAAGAAGTTAAGGCGACGCTGGCTGAAGTCAATTAATTAGGGCAAATTGAAATCAGGAAAATTGGAAGGGAAGAGAAGGAAATAATTATCAGAGTCAAAACCAAAATTTTCGCCAATACTCAAATAGAGGAAATCAATGGGGACAGAGAGGAAATACAGAATTGAATCGAGGAGAGCAAAATCGTTGGCAATCCGGAAGCAGTCTTACCGGGACAATGAAAATTCCAGAAATAATTACCGGGGACGAGGATGGAATAGAAACCCAAATATGATTGACGTACCGAGTTTTCGAGGACGAGAGAAGAACCGGGAATCACCAGAGACATATCGAGGCCCACCCCCGCCGCCCCCCGCTGTGGAATTATTATTAAATTATTATTTCTCCGACCCAATTTTACTCAATAAAAGGAGAGAGGACTAGGACAAACTCTCAGATTTATTCTTGATTTGGCCAGATCGTCTCCCCGACCGGCTCATTTTTTTTGTATTTTATTTATTTATTTTAATAAACTTTTAAAGTGAGAGGTTTTTCTTTTTTAATTAATTCGGCGGACGCGCCCGTGGATTGGGTTCGCCCAATCAACGGAGCACAACGTCCGGCCACGCACAAATATTTATTAGTTTTTAAATCAAATTTATATTTAAAAAATTTTTTTAAAATGCCTTGCTTAATTATAGAATTGTGTGTTTGATATTATTTCTAATTTAAACAAAATCTTTTCTTAACATCATGACCCAACATAAACTTTTCTTGAACTTTTTAACATAATTATCCCCATTGCTTCTGCAATTCCTTGAAGTGGACAGTGGCTTGATCAATTAATTTTGTTGCACTTTTATTTGTTCTTTTTTGATTGTTTCTTATAAACTTGATGAAACGAATGTAGACAACCAGCGTTACAGCAGCATATAGATATACCAACTTAGAAAATATTTGAATTTTTAAGAAACAAAAGAACTCGAAAATTTTTTTCCCATAACTCGAATATTTTCAATTGAGATAAAAATTCTAGCTTTCCTGAGATTTTTCTGTGCCCTTAGAAATTGAATTATTTTAAAGTATATACCAAGTTTATAATATTGTAGTAAAATACATAGGTTGCTATTGACAATTCTTCTTTATATGAGCGAAGGAACACAACGAGTGCATTATAAAAAAGGTAAATTGTTGCGTAAGCAATATCCATTGGAAGAATTAAACGCATTGAAAGTATGTTCTCGTTGAGTTGAAAACTCGTGCTTAGGCTATAGTCGCTAGTACATGACCTATAAATTTGGATGCTTAAATCTTATAAGATAATCGCGTGACTAGTGTCTCTTATACCACAGAAAAATTCATTTATCTAATTAAAAAAATACCGTATTTACTACCGTATTTATTTAAAAGATACCGTATCTATTCTTATATAATGATATGTCGTTTTAATTTTCAACCCTCTCCTAGGATGTCTTTATATTTGAGACTGTATATTAGAATAAATACGGTACATAAGAAATCGGGAAGGCAACCAAAATTAGACCAAATGTCATTGGCTTAATTACTATTTGTTTCCATTTTTAACGAAAAATTTTTGCCCAAGGAAAACCTTAATAAAATTTTTAGGAATCAGTTTACCTTAACTCTTGAATTCGTCTATTTGTTACAGTAATTCTCCAATCAAAAAATGCTGTCAATATTACCATTAGTGTCGTCAAAATGGTGACATAAATTATTAGATTAGCTGTACTTTTGTTTACCAAATATAATGCCCCCAAAATTTTCATTGAAGGATCGGCAAAAGCCATAAGTATTATATAAGTCATATAGCTGATTGAAATTACCCACTGTAAAATTAAATAATATGATTTGTTATTTTGAGTTATTAAAATACAGCCCAGAAGACTTTAACGTTAAATTTTGGACGGCCATTACTCGGCCCAAGGTTATCTTGCAAGAAAACGGATATCACTTCGCAATAGGAAGGCAGAGGTCCTTCTATCGAATGGTACCAAAAAATATATCAATTTCGTGGTGACAGTAAAAGATGGTTCCTTGTGAGAGATAACCTCATATCTCCCCTTGTGTAATTTTACTCGGTAATTAGTATCAGGTTTTGAAGAAAAAATTGGAGAATTTTTTATATAACAGATGCAAAACTGTTCGTTTATTTTGTAAATCACAAACTCACACTAATAATTATCATAATAACTGTCAATTTTCTTCCAGCATTTTCATATTTGTTCAAAAACAAAGTTGCTCTCAAACGTTCAAGCATAATACAAAAATGTAGTGAAGGATAACATATCGTTTGCAAATAGAAAGATCCAACTAATATTGAATCAAGCCATAGAGGTGTTAATAATTCGCGTGGATCTTTGTAGTAAAAAAGAATGATCTTAAAACAAAAATGTAGCGAGGTCCCAGAAGTTGGGGAATTATATGTATAATTAGATAATAAATTCTAAAGACTTACAAAATAACGTAGATTAGTGGCAAATTGTGTTGTCGCGTGGATAAAATAAACAATAACGATATTAACAAATAACAACTAAAAATTGTTTAATTTTATATAAATTTCAAAATAAATTTTATTTTAAGTTAATAAATTTCAAGAACCTATAAATCAAATTTTGGTCATATCTTATAGTGGGGTCAGTAATTAATTTACATACCAAAAGATTTATGTGAATAGCAATACGCTTTTTCAAATATTGTCGTATTAGTTCGAAAATCAGCAACAAAATAGTAAATAAGAGGACGATAGCAACTCGCAAGACAACTACATAAACAGGGCTTAGAAGGCTCTGCTCAAGGTCTACAGCAAGCAATGTTAAATTTATTTGAGTTGTTGAATTAATTGAAGTCATATTTTCTAAAGTTTATATTTAATTATAAAACTAATAAAGCTTATCGTCTAAATCATGACGAGCTATTTCGAATGAAATCTAAAGTAAACTGATTTGACAACAGGGCTAACTCGATTTTCAATGAAAGCAAAATTCCAACCTGCTGAACAGATTTATACTTTAGAACAAACTCACACTTTACGTGAACTTAGAGGAAATGTGTAATAAGAGATACCGGATTTTCGTTAAAATAAGCCACGGGGCTTATTTTTTCCGATCAACCTCAAGAGAGGGATTATTTTGGAAAGAATGTAGAGGGGGCTTAGGGGGGCAGGCTTATTTTAGATGGAGGGGAGAGCTTAATTTGGAGAGGGACTTATTTTGTAGGGAGCTTATTTAGGGGAGAGGGCTTATTTTGGAGGGCAGGAGAGCTTATTTTAGTGGGGGGGGGGTTATTTTGGAGGGCAAGAGAGCTTATTTTAGTGGGGGGGGGGTTATTTTGGAGGGCAGGAGAGCTTATTTTAGTGGGGGGGGGGGTTATTTTGGAGGGCAAGAGAGCTTATTTTAGTGGGGGGGGGGGGGGGGTTATTTTGGAGGGCAGGAGAGCTTATTTTAGTGGGGGGGGGGGGTTATTTTGGAGGGCAGGAGAGCTTATTTTAGTGGGGGGGGGGGTTATTTTGGAGGGCAGGAGAGCTTATTTTAGGGGGGGGGGGGTTATTTTGGAGGAGAAGGGGGGGGGGTTATTTTAGAGAGGAGCCTATTTTAGAGGAAATAAGGTAGGCATAATATATGTACTACGAAATGTATTATATATCCGTTAATTATCCGAGGTTTACCAAAGACCACGAGACAAAGAACAACGTTTATCCGCAGTAGATAATTAGAATTAAGCTTAACGCCTTAAAAACGCTATTAAAAAATAAAAAGTCAACGAAAAGGAAAAAAATTAATTAAAATAATTTTTTATTAAACGCTAGCTTAAACAATTTTTGCCTTTAACATTAAAAAATAATAACAAAATGTATTTTAGCGTGAGTTTGTCTTGAAAATGAAGCTTAAACGAAAGAATATACTTTTTATTAATTATTAGGTACAAAAATTATTTTTCAATATTGAAACATAAGTTTTAAAAATTGGCTGAATTTGATGTTTGAGGATTGAAAAATGAAAATTTTCTAATATACTTATATTTTTCATGTAGCTCAAAATGATTAATATTTCAATATCCCTCGCAAAAATGAAAAAAAATTAAAAATTATTTGTGAATTATCTTTATTAAAATCAGAATTTATCTAAAAAGACGTATTGACAGAAATTCCCACAAACAGAAGACCCAAGGAGACCAAAAAACAACCAGCATCCTATGGGTATCAGGGAGACGCATGCGTAAAACACCGCGCTTCGCGCGGGATTCTTCACTGGGTTGTGGGTTCTACACTAGTAACATAGACCTACTTATTCCTATTATCGCTGCTGTGGGCATGCCTGGCACCACAAAAGGGACCAAAAGAAACGAGCCAATATGAAAGCACAATAAAATAAAAATAAGAAAAAAATGGTTTTGGGTCTTTTGTTTGTGTGTTTTCTGCGTCGATATATTATTTTAAATTTTTCAACATCCTAAAATCAATGGGTAATAAAAAAATAAGATAATAGATAAATCTAGAATTTATAGTACATATTACAGCATATTAAATCCTGTTAGATAAAAATCTCTGATAATTATTAAAGCTCTTTTGGAATATCTCTCATCAGCGGGCGGGGGACGTTTACACTCTGAAAAAGCTAGAAATTTTTCAGTATAAATCCTGTAGTTAAAAATAAATAAAAATATTATCAATTAATTTGTCCACCTTTTAATCATGTGACAAAAAGGTATAATAATATGAAATACCGAAATCTGTATGTGCTTTCTTTCTTTTTGGCGAAGATTCAGCAAAGGTCGGATATGATCCTTCAGACGATGGAGATGATTCTCCAGACGTAGTAGGTGATCCATTAGACGATGGAGATGAATCTCCAGACATAGTAGGTGATCCACCAGATGATGTGGATGATTCCCCAGACGTAGTATGTGATCCACCAGACGATTGAGAAGATTCTCCTGACGTAGTAGGTGATCCACTAGACGATGGTGAAGATTCTCCAGAAGTAGAAAATGACCCAGAGTATTTGTTTAGTTCTTTATCATACTCCATCCTATTTTTCTCATCGCAAAGAATTCTACAAGCCTCATTTATTTTCTTGGAATATTCCAAAGCGTCCGGGTTATCTTTATTTTTGTCTGGATGATATCTTAACATCAATCTTTTGTATGCGGTTTTGATCTCTCTGGTGGATGCATTTTTAGAGACTTTTAATATTTCGTAGTAGTTAGGCAAAGACTCAACAATTGCAAGAAAAATTAGCAAGCAAAAGAAATTAATAGAATAATGCATCTGCAAAAAGCTGTCTTTAGAAAAATATTATTAAACTAAATAGTAGCGTAAGAAAAGCTGTAGCTTTGTCTGTATCGGATGTTGTCACTTAGACAATATTTTATTTATTTAAAAGGGCAAAATTAAAAAATTATTTTTATGGCGGCAAAGCTTGCTTAGGCAAAGCAATGCACTTGTATTCATAGACTTTAAATGAAGAAATTCAAAGAGGACCGCAATAAATTAGATTTTAAAATTATAATACAACGTCAATAAATATGTATTAAAGAAAGTCCCGCTTATTTCATAATAGGCATGAGACTACATTTATAAAGGAAATCTTGTTTTTAATGAAATAAAGACAGAATTGCAACTAGTGTTTGGAAGCTAGTGCAAAATTCGTGTACCTGTCTACAGAAGCAGGCTTCGCTTACTTTGCTATTTGAAGTGGCTGGGTTCTAATCCAGGGATGGGAATTGAGATTTTAACATTTTTCCTTTCAAAAATAAAATTATTAAACGTTGATTTTAAATTTATTTTTTTAATATTTTAAAGTTAAAAAATCTTTAAAAATTTTAATTTAGTCAAGAATTTTCCTAAATCGTTGAAAATTGAAGAGTTTTGGCTTAATGACTAGGGTTGTCGGTTTCACTAAATTCTTCACCGGCTCTGAGCTGCGATTTAAAAGCCGCTTCATGTTTAATTTCTCACCCAGTTGACATGTTTCGGCGTTTTTCAAAATTATGATATTTTCGAAAACTTTTTGACCGGTCTAACAGTTACTACTTTCGGAGAGATGTTTTTTAAGTCTGTAAATTATTTATGATTCTCTTCTAGATTCTGAATACAATGCAAGAAACCGCATCCAAATTGGTCGGGATTCTAAAGAGAAAAGAATTTTAAAAATCGAAAAACACCAATTTTTGCCATTTTTTGTCGATTTTTTTGCAAGAATCGGAGTTTTTTTCTATTTTCAAAAATTCATAACTTGGTAGATGCGGTTTCTTGTATTGTATTCAGAATCTAAAGAGAATCATGTATAAAATTTACAGACTTAAAAAAATTTCTCCGGAAAGTCGAAAAAGTGTAACTGTTAGACCGGTTAAAATGTTTTCAAAAATATATGAATTTTCAAAAACGCCGAAACATGTCAACTGGGTGAGAAATTAAGCTATTTTTTAACATTAAGAACTGCCAAATCTGATAACGATGAGCGGAATTACGTAAAAGTGCCTTGTTCTTAACAAAATTGCCGCCGCTTTATTTGAAATATTTATTCGACCCTTTTTTCTCTTTGTTTGTAATAGAGAATTTCACAACAAAAGGTAAGTTATACATGCTTGATTGCTTTCAAGCATGTTGACAAATAAATAGAAGTATCATTAAGAAACATTGTACTCATTAAATTTTTTTAAATAATTATTACATTTCAAATAAATTTTAACGGATTTATTTTGTACTTTTGTAAATCAAAAATGACCAAGTTCAATTTTTTAATAATTATTGCGCTAAAATATTATTTAATTTATTCGCTACATTGCTTCTTAAAAGGACTACTTAACTTTAAATTTTAAAAATAATTTCCTTATTTTATAATTATTTTACACTTTAATAATTTATCATTAATTTTTTAACTAAAGCAATATAGGCTAAGTAAAAAATTTTCATATTTTATATAATTAATTTTATTATCTGCGAGGGTTTGTCTGAGATTTGCTAAAATCACTAGGACAAGAATAACAATATAGACGAGGGGGGGGGGGGTGGTGGTCGAAACGGACGAATGAGATCAAATTTCGATATAACAAACTCGAAGGAAAAGAATTTGTTTATTTCGAATATTGGGGTTCAACTGTACTACACTTTTTAGTTAATTAAAGAAATTAAACTAAAAAGCTTATAATATTATATTTTAATATTTATTAATTTAATAAATTATTAAAATATAATTAGTAGCTTTGTTTAAAATGAAGATAAATATTTACTCGAACTAACTTACTAAGGACAGTTGTATTTTAAAAATTAACATCAGTAAAATAAAAAAAAATGTGAAGATAATAAAGGACTATTAAATATTAGGGGTATAAATTAGGAAGGAATGAACCTTGATAATCCCAAGATTAACTCTTGTTATGTTTTGAGATTCGTGGACCGCGAATTTTATTTTGGTCAAGACCGCAACTATGGACCTTTTTTCGTTCCATATCTATCCAGAAATTTAAATTTTTTGTATAATTAAAATTATTTAAACTAAAGATCTTCAATAATTAAGAAAATCTATTAATCTATTCGCTTATTTTTAGTATTCTAGATTCATTATAACTAATTAAGCAAAAGAGAAATATGCTGACACCTAACGACCCGGTAAGATCTTAGTAATTAAATTTAAAAATTATTAAAGACACAAGCCCCGAATATTCTTAAGATACGTTTTTTGGTTAGTTGTGAATCAAAAATTTAGCTGCGGAAGTTATAGGAAAAACTTAACAAATACTCGGTTTTGTTTCTATGAATCCGCTAAATTTTCGGCTCGGCACCGTTTCGAATTTTTAATAAACCATTCAGAAAAAGTATAGAGCCATTTGAATTTTAAAAATATCCAGCATGTATTTCAACTAAATTATTTTTTATTTAATAATAGGTCTTCAATTATTATAATACTACAGGAACTTTGTATATTCTCACAGCCAAATATGGCAGTATTGCATTCCTAAGTTTCATAGCGTTTTTATTAAATTCGTTTATGGTCTATACAACATGGAAAAATAAGTTTGTATATTTATTATTTAAATTAACTAATTGGGGAATTCTGTGCTTAAAATGAATATAAAAAATGGAAATTTAAATAAATTTATCAAAATTTTGAAATTAGTGGTTAATCAAAAGCTCCGCCACCGGGCATAAAAGAAAAATGGCTTTTTAGTGGTTATATCCTGGCCACTTTTTCCTCACAATAAGTACCTCCGTTGTAAATATGACTCGATGATACATTGGGGGAACATTGGGAACATAAGGGAACATTGGGGAATACCAGAGCTGTTTTGTTGGTTTTTCTTTCAATTTTGACTTTCTGGTGATATTTAGATTTTTGTAGTTTTTTTGATTTCAAACAGCTTTGGGGCTGAAATTTCTATCTGAGCATAAAAAAATCTATTGTATTCTAAAAAACAAAAAAAATTTTTAGATGTTTCCATTATCGTTGTAATATCTACATTGCATTAAATTCTCTATTTACCTTACCTCTCCACTTTGGAATGAGCGTTAAATTTATTATTCTCCTATCAGGAATTAATTTTATCAGTCTTCTTTCTTGTTATATAATTCAAGTCATTCCTTTAACTTTTACAACATTTGCTACTCAAATTCAATTTTATATTGGATTTGACAGATTGCTGAGTATTGCTTTTCCTATCTGGTAATTTTAAATTCTTGCAAGTGTTTTGGGACCCCTTGAAAAATTATACACTGGATTCATAAACAATGCAAATGCACCGAAGAGAGGCGTATGAAGACATAGAGTGATAGGGGCCATAGTCTAGATAGGCATGAATTAAAACTGAAGAACCATTTAATTTTTAAAGAAATTATTAGTGGGTAACAAATTTATTTATCCAATAATTTCAGGTATAGATTCAAGGATGCTTATATATCTGTGAGTGTAATAGCTATACTTACTACTATCAGGACGAGTCGTACATGCTGGAATTTCTTAAGTATGGCAATTCAATTCCCTGAAAGGTATTACACTTTGTTTAGAATTTAAGTAGAGTTCCTTTTTTCAATTTAAGCAGAGTTCTTTTTTCAATTATCCTTTTTTCACAATTATCCTCGAACAACTGGAAAACCCCGTTCCCTGACCCGAAAGAGGTTCGGGTATACACCACATATTATGCATTTCTTAATGAGAATTTAAAGAGAAAACCTCATACCCCTAACTCTCGAGGTGAAACCCTAAATTTAAGTTTGAACCTATGCTTCTCGAAGACGAACACATGTCTCTAAAGCATCTCTAAAATAAGCCCACTCTGAGAGTAATGAAAATTAGATCCGATTGCAGTAATTAAAATACGGTAATTAACATACTCTAGATTTATTACCAGACCAACAATGTGTGCTACAGGCGATTTGCTTCAACCAGAAATTAGTCAAGAGACTCTTGCAACTGCAAATATCTATAATTTGTTAACAGTTGCTTGTTATGTGACTATTTGGATATTAATGACTATTAAAAAGCAAGACAATTCTAATAGTAAACGTTTAATAAAATCATTGACAGCAATCATCATAATTAATTTGGCAGGCTTTGTTAATGTCAGTAGAGAAATTCTTAATAATATTAATACAGTTCAGGGTGGCCCTTTACAAAACTTAAAATGACTTATCGCGGTATAAATGACTTATCCGTTATAACTTTTAATGAGTGATCAGACTTGATCTAACATATTAGAAAAATGCAGCTTATCAAGGGCTTTTGAATAATATAAGATTCATTTAATTCAATCAAACTCAAAAAATTTATAGCCGATCAAAGTCAGCTGGCACTCAATTTATGCGTATATACGGGATAAGTACCAATTTTTATCTTATAGTGAGTTTACTGATACTGAGTGTGTCATTAAGAGGGCCAAATTGTACTTAAAAGTTAATTCTCATCAATTCACATTAAAATTTAGACGCAAGTCTGGCTCATGTTATTGCCCATATTATCATTTAATGCTGCGAATATTGATAGTTTTGTTGTGACACCAGCTTTGCTTATGTATGTAGCTGCTTCTGGTAGTAACACGCCGGTTTTATTTGCTTTTAGGTTTGGGATTTTTTAGTTTAGCATTTTTTGTATTTTCTTTTTTCCTAAATTTTAAATTATCAGCAAACATGAATTCCAGCTTTTAAGTTTAATTGCACCAAATTTTTTAAAATAATCTTCTTTGGGTATTGAAATTAAAATTATTTAGTCTGAGTAGCTGTAGTTATCCTTAAGCATTATTTGACGTTGATCATTGAAACTTTTTATCAGAAAA